TTTCCGCCTTTGCCATCTTCTTCCCCTTGTGCAGCCTCATTCGGATTGGGTTGTACTTGAACTTGTACAACCTCATTCGGATTTGGTGTAACTTCAGTTGAATTAGAAAGATAGGATTGCTACTGGAATTTCCTTGGGCTGCCATAATTTTTAACTGCAAGAAAGATACGATTGCTACTATTAACATGGTACTTTAGTTGAATTAGAAAAGCTACAAAAGTCTCGTGAGAGTCTAAGAGAGATAAGAAAACTTTGTAAATCATGATCAAATTACCTGCCCTTGACCGAGATTCGAGAATATGATTTGTACCGCTTCAAGCAACTGAATAACTAAAGTGAACTACTAAAGTACTGAACGTCTAAGACTCTGAGTGACTCGAGCAAAGACAGCTTCAAGAAAGCAATCCTCAACTAGCTGGTTTTGAGTTACAAGGAAGAGCAATCAGAGTTTCTATTTATCTATGGAAAATGAAATTGGAATGGGGATGGAGGAAACGAAACGGTGACCTATGGATAGGAGATGGAGAAGGAAATCGAAATCTGATAGGCTGAATTTATGATGGTTTTTCTTCGGGAAGCCAAACATCTCGTTGGCTGAATGGATTCTTCTTGGGGTTGAGGATGGAGGGTTAATGATGGAGTAAATGAGAGAGGGGAGGGGAAGAGTTGGACACATGCAAGGGTTGCTGGGAATTGAGATTATGGATTATTCTGTAATTGGGAAAGGGGGGAGGGGAAGATCGATAGACGAAAGGGGCTAAGCAGCGGGGCGGGTCGGGGACGGGGCGGGGCAGGGGTTATACCCAAGCCAGGACTAGACTGTGGGCGGGCCGGATCGAGACCCGCCCCATCTCTTAACGGGCCGGGTTTTATCCGTCCCTATGCGGGCTGGGCCGGGTCAGACCCGCCGGATCGGGCTCAAAGTCCCTAGCCTAATCATCCTGATGGTTCTGTTGAGAGGTACAAAGCTCGCCTTGTTGCCAAAGGTTATACCCAGATAGAGGGAGTTGATTTTCATGACACGTTTTCACCCGTGTCTAAGCTTGTCACTGTTCGATGCTTGCTTGCTGTGGCTGCCAGTCGTGGTTGGTTTCTTCATCAACTTGATGTTAACAATGCTTTTCTTCACGGTGATTTGACAGAGGAAGTATATATGAAGGTTCCTCTTGGTTTTGGAGCCGATGGTGAATCTCGTGTATGTTGCCTTCATAAGTCAATCTATGGTCTACGCCAGGCATCCAGAAATTGGTACCAAAAGTTCACCATGTCTCTCTGCGACCTTGGTTTTCGTGCATCCCCGGCTGATCACTCCCTTTTCATTTACAAAAAGGGGGATATTTTTGTCACCGCATTGATATACGTGGATGACGTGATTCTCGCAGGCAATGACATGGATTTTATTAATCAGGTGAAGAGGTTCCTCGATAAGAAGTTTAGTATCAAGGATCTCGGTGTTCTTCGTTATTTTCTGGGTCTTGAGGTGCACGGTCACCTCGTGGCATTGTCATCAGTTAGAGGAAGTACGTTTTGGATATCTTGGCCGAGGAGGGTGTCCTTGGTTCGCGCCCGAGTTCCTACCCTGTTGAGCAGAATCATCAACTCACAAAGCCTTCATCGGACGTTTTGGTTGATGGTTCGTCTTATTGATTAGTCGGCTCTTATATCTAACGGTCTCACGCCCGGATATCACGTATGGCGTGAATATCCTAAGTCGTTTTGTTCATGCCCCTACGTGGGCTCACATGGATGTTGGGATGCGCATCTTGCGGTACTTGAAGACCTCTCCGGGCCAGGGTCTTTATTTTCCTGCCGATAATACGCTCGAGCTTGTTGCTCACTGTGATGCCGATTGGGGGGGTTGCCAGTCTACACGGCGGTCTACTACTGGCTTCTTTATCTCCCTTGGATCTGCTCCAGTCTCGTGGCGTACTAAACAACAGAAGGTAGTGGCTCGTTCTTATGCAGAGGACGAGTACCGAGCTATGGCTAGTACTGTCAGTGAGCTTCTATGGTTACGTTGGTTATTACATGAACTCGGTGTCCCGCAGCTGCGCCCTACACCTATTCATTGTGATAATCAGGATGCGCTTCATATTGAGGCCAACCTTGTTTTTCATGAATGCACTAAACATGTTGAGATGGAAGGTTATTTTGTTCGTGAACGAGTTGTTTCTGGTAATATACTTCCACTCAAGGTCAGGTCTCATCTTTAGCTCGCCGACCTCTTCACAAAAGGGCTTGGCGCTGATCGTTTTCGGTTTCTTTTGTCCAAGCTGAACGTTCGTGACCTTCACCGCTCAGCTTGCGGGGGCGTATTGGATTGTGAACAGGCTCGGCCCACTTGTGCTCACGTGGACTGCTCCTTTCCTTGTAGTCCACGGTTAGCTTCTGGTTGTTCCTTTCCTTGCCCTAGTAGAAACCGAAGGATATATAAGGTTGATGTAGGCCATATGGCCAATGTATCAAGTTGTTCATCAATAAAATAACGTAGCCGGAGAGTTTTATCTCTCCCGTGGATTAGTTCTGATTAATCATCAGGGATACCAAGTAAAGATCGTGTCTTGTGTTGTTTTTGTATTAGTTCTGCTGCAATTTATTAGTTACCACTAGTCAGATTTTATCCACCCAACACGAATCGAATCGAATAAGGGAATTCCATCATAATGGATTTGAATTGTCATCTCTAATCCAGTGTGTTTTCCCCTGATAAGGGCTAGCACATATTCATATCATGTTTCCATAAGGTCATAAACCATTAGATGCATTTGATAGCACATCGTTGTGGTCGAACATTAACCCTATATTTTCTCGATAATACATGCATCTCGCCTTTCTTTTGGTCGAAAATGAATACGGGTATCTTACTTGGGAAACGTTTCTTTTCAATTTTATTTTCATACCATATCATACATATCCTAAACACAGGAACCCAAATGAACGGCAGAAAATATCAAAATTAAGAAAAAGCCCACGACCCAACATCGTCATGAATAATACACACCTTGGCGCCATCGGCCCATCACTTCTAACAGACTGTTATGCCTTTGGCAGACTTTTGCTTGTCAGTTATACTCCTCCGGCCCGCGTTCATATTACTCTATTTCTTCTTTCTTGCATAGTTTTCGTAAAAAAAAAAAAACTTTCTTGCATAATTGCATTTGTTCGGAAAAAATCACAGAATACTCAAGTTATTAAAAAAATTCTCTAAATACAGTACTTATAAAGTTATTTCCCAAAGTACAGCAGTTTCAAAACAACTATCGAAGATGAAGACAGTGATCACAATCACCGCCTTCGAAAACAACGAGGAAGGTATCACCGCTTTCGAAAACAACGGGGAATGTATCACCGCCGCCGTCCAAAATGGTGATTGCATCACCACTGTTGTGCAAAACGGTGATTACATCATCGCCGTCGACCAAAACGGTGATATTTGACCACGTTTTAGAGCCCTGGTAGGTGAAAAATTAGGTCACAGCGACCTAGCTATCACCGTTTTGGACAAAAGCGGTGATGTGTTCACCGCAATTGTCCACTGCGGTGATTAGCTAGCACATTTCCTTATAAAAACAAACCCTCATGTCCCTCCTGCTGCCTTACAGCAAAGTAGTACAAAAATTAGTGTTTTTTGGTTGTTTTCTCAGCTGGTTTGGAGTTGGTTTACAGCAACAAGAAACTCATCGGGATTCGGTATGCTATAATTATGTATTGTTTACATGTTGATGTATTAGTAATTATATGTCTGTATTTAGTGAATTGCGGTTATTGGCAAATATGTTATGAGATATTTAGATTAATTATGATATGATATGATAGATGTTAGTTAGTTAGTTAGTTATGAATTTAGATGAATTTGTTTAGTTTTCGCTGGATAGATCAATTTGTTGCGTTTGTTTATGGTTTGGATGATATTGTTTTTGTATCCCTAATGTGCTAATTATATACTATACTTAATTATTATAAATTGCATACATGGGTAAATTTAAGAAGTTTCGGCTTATTATTCGGTGGAATGGTTGGGTGACAAACTCGAACATTGGGATCGACTATGAAAATGGCGAATCCACTATGCTAAAAATTGAGTCGAGATTCTTGTGGCAAGAACTCCATGACATTTGTGCAGAAAGGACTTGTACGGGCGGGCAAAGGAGAGTTGGTCAAATTGCTTACCAGTATCCAAACATGAGTGCTGACGGAATCATGTACGAAAAAGTTGTCATAAATGATGATGACGCGGTGAACATGATGATACAGTTCCTATCTGACAACGGGGTGCGGCTTGCAGAATTGTATGTCGAGACCGAGCCGGTCGGTGAAACTCATTCTCACCAGTATTCTTGTGATGATGGTTTTGCAAGAGGGTATGGCTGGGGTTGTAGTTCAAGTAACTACGGAGGAGGTACTTCTGCAGGAGGGTATGGTTGGGGTGGTACTTCAAGCAACTACGGAGGAGGTAGTTCTGAAGGAGGTGTTGGGTGGGAAGAATACCCGTAACATGCTGAGACTGCCGTCGATATCGTTCAGCCCGACGGTGATCAATGGTCTGCTTGGGGTCCAGAGTGGGCTGACATTGAGAACACCCTTCGAACTGGGCGTACTTCGCATGACCAAGAAGACGATGTTGGTTATGCTGGTAACGATGACCATCCTGAGCCGAGCTATCCATTCGCCTCCAGTGATGATGAAAGTGAGGAAGATTTATGATCAGTCAGTGAGGAGGAAGATACTGACGATATCAACGATATCGATGACAAAGAGGTGGCGTTCCGTCAGGCACCAACGGCTTACTACACAAAGGTTCCTGATCAATTTTTATATGGTCAGAACGATGCCCCTGACTTTCGGCCCATGTCTGTGTATAATCTGACTGCTAATTTGGAAGTGTGTATGGCGTTCACTTCGAAAGCCGATGTGCAAGATGCTTTTAGTGAAGAAGCCATGCGGCGTAACTTCGAATGGAAGGTAAAATATTCTGACAGCATTAGGGTGGGGAAAAAAATATGAGAGGTGCTCCCACCTCTCTCCTCAGAGTGGTGGCGACTGCTCTTCTCACCATCCTTCAGTTGAGTCGGACTGCCGACGATCTCTTTCTTCATTATGGTGTGGCGATCCTCAAAGCTGCCCTTGCCAATCAACACAAGCAGGGGTTTGGACTGACCACTGTCCACAAGAAATCGGAGGGGAAGTCTAGCACCCCAGTGGAGTATCTTGCGCGACGACAGACGGTGGAGATCGGTAAAAAACGACCTGCGGGGAGGAAATCAACACGGATCGAAACAGGAAAGCGGAAAAGATAGCTGGATAAAACTGCTGCTCGCATCCTGGAAGCCAAACAGCCCAAGCACTTGCGTCGATCGAAACAATTTATGTGGCGATTCTACTTACCATCGTCGGAGGGGGTAGAATTAAAGTCACAAGAGGACCTGGACTCTTTGGATCATCGTCACAAGGGTGAGGTGTCGTCCACGGTCCGGGGGTTTGCAACGGACCCGAAACATACGCTACTAGGACTGATTGCTGGCAAGCAATTTTACAGGAGGGGTGCGATTTCGTCGAGGGTTTGCAACGGGCGGGGAGATTTGGTCGCCTGCTGTCTCGCTGCACCCGCAAGAAAATCGGGGAGTTGTAACAGACGGGGAGATTCGGAAATGCGCCGTATCTCTGCAGATTTTGGATTTTCATCCAACCGTATGTTCAATTTTAAAAATTCTAGTTCCCCTCATCAGGTAGAACTCCCGCTGCAAAGGGAGTATCAAACTTCCTCTGCCTATTTAGCGCAGCTAGCAGAGCCCAACCCTCACCAACACAATCATCGAGAGAGAGGTGGGTTGCCAAGCAGCTGCGTGTCCAAATCAAGGAAGGATATCTACTTTGGTACGTGGGAATTTCGCCTTTCGGAGATCAGTCTCTGTGTTTGGGTAGATGCTATTCCTACCATAAATTTTGTTTTCAGCTTCTCGAGCTTCCCATGGGCTCCGATTGGTGAACTGCCTGCTGATATTAATCATTGTGACTTGACTTCCTTGTATCTGCTACAGTCGGTCACCATGGCTCACATTGCGAGTGATCAGGTTGTGGAGTTCTCGCTAACGGAGATTCAATCCTCCAGGGTGTGCAAGTCGAGGATGCTGCTTGGCCGTGTCTTTGCGGAGGAGCGGTTGTCAATTGCTGAACTTCGTGAAGGAACCAACAATCCGTGGCAAGGCCAGGGAAGAATCAAAGTTAGGGAGGTGGGCCACGGATTATACGAATTTGTCCTCCCATCTGAAGCAGCCAAAAACTGGGTGCTCCAACGTACTCCCTGGGTTATCAAGGATAAAATCCTTCACCTGCGTTCCTGGACACCAAATATTACTGATCGAACGTTTGAAGAGATGGCGATTGCACCTTTCCTAGTCCAAATGTGGGATGTACAGGAGGAATGCTGCACTCATCAATTTGGCAGGAAGGTGGCGAGTTCCACCCTAGGCCGGGTGCTCGAAGCAGGCGTGTTCTCCTGCACGGATACAACCAGGACGTTCATTAAGGTTAAAGCCCTCATCGACTTCTCCAAACCGCTACGATCTCAGATCATGGCGACTAATGAAGAGATGGGCTCTTTTTGGATTCGGTTCAAGTATGAACACCTTCCCAGTTTCTGCTACAACTGTGGCCGAGTGGGGCATTTTCGCCAGAATTGTGGATTTGACCTGTCACCCAGAAAGGAGAGGTTTGGCCCCCATATGGCGACCAAAAAAATGGGGAGGAAGATCTTCGATGAGGAGGAGCAAAGTCAACATCCCAACTCGGTATGGATTAACTCCAACATTCTTCACAAACCTGGCCAGGTGGAACAGATGGAACGGGTGGAGCCTCGATCAGGAACTTTGGGGCGACGAGACCCGCCACTTGCCAAAAACTTGAGGACTGAAAAAAGTCTACTGTGGATGGGGTCTTCGGACAACCCGTTTGCCACTACCGAGCATGAAGCACATCGATCTATGCCGAGGAGGAGCCCTCTTCGATTTCCGATGACAAAGGCCCCTAAAATTCCCCTGGGTAAGCCAGGTCGTCGTGGGAAGGGGAAGGTTATTCCACTGGGCAACCCGATGGAGGTGGATGGGGAACAGGGCTCGACCCGGGCTGCGGGCCATCGTGGGAGGCAGGGCAGAGCCTCACGGGACAAACGGAGTTCGTCGGTCGCATTAGAGGGGAATCATCGTGCGAAGACAGGAGTGGCGCGGGCAACGCTTCCCCCTGCTGGTACTTCCCCTGGGGCAGCAGCCAACGACCTGCCGCACCTTTGACGGCTCATTCTGGAGGACGACTCAGAGGATGATTTTGTGGTGCAGCTTGTACCACCCAGCAGCAAGAAGGAGGGTCGGTTGTTCCCTCAGCAGGAGGAGTTGATCGGACAATGGGAGGCTGGCCCTATCGAGGCCCGGAAAGCCCAGCGGAAGGGGAAGGGTATTGTTGATCCGCCCCGTATGGGCCCCAAGCAGAGCACTGGGCAGGCCCATTTGCTGAAGGAAATTCCAGCGGGTGCAGGCCCACAAAGGAGAAAGGAAGGGGGATCAGTGGGGGAAAGGGCCAGCAAGCCCAAACCCATAAACAGAAGGCAGCGGACCAGTCCCTCTTCGGGCCGGGCCCATGTGAAGACAAAAGGGCCGCAGGCGGGGCAGGCGGGCCTGGCATCTCCAATTGATGACCGAGATTCACCCGAGCCCACTGTGGACCCACGGGATTTGGAGTACACATGCTCGGAAGATGAGGGCCATATTTTTGAGCTGCGGCGTCGTGTGCCGTCGGCATCAGGGGTCCTGAAGCGGCTGGTTAAGCAATCTCGGGTCAATCAAGTTGTGCGTGCTTTTGAGATGGGATTGGAAATGCAAGACAATGAGGAAGATGGAGATAAGGACCAATCCCAAGCTCAAGTATATGCAGGCAGTCAGGATCCGGTGGTTGAAGCTGTTCACCATGTTCCCTTGAATGAATATGGTACCAACATACCTGAGCCGGGGGCAGGGATTAAGAAACGTCATTTTGACGAGATTGAGGGGGAGATGACGGAGAATCCAACCCCCAAGAAACAGTTTGTTGAAGAGAAAGAGGATGTGAAAAAGGTGGAGGAAGCCAGCCTTGAGTGGCCCCAACCAGATAAATGAGGCTTCTGGCCTGGAATGTGAGAGGAATTGGGCCAGCCCTCACGTTCCAAACTGCTGTAGGTTTATTGTATTCTAATAAACCGGATCTTGTGTTCTTCTCGGAGACACAATCGAGCCGGCGTGTAGTTACCCGTCGCATGCGGGGGTTAGGTTTTCATCAGTCTCATTGTTTCTTTGTGGATGCTGTTAATGCATCGGGTGGGTTAGTTGTAGCTTGGTCCCCCGGGGTCGATGCCTCGGTGTTTTTTCATTCCAATTTTTGTATCTGCACTCGGATTAATGAAGTTCAGCATTCTTATGTTGTGGTTTCTGTTTACTTTAGCTGTGATATGGCCACTAGAGCCGCTCAATTGTCCCAGTTGCAAGAAATCTGTAGTGCAATTCAGATCCCATATGTTGTCATTGGTGACTTTAACGCTACTCTCCATGAGGGTGAAAAAGATGATGGGAATGATTGGAATGCGACTCAGTCTCTTAGTTTGCGCGATTTTATCTGTGATCTTGGTCTTCATGACCCTGGGTTCCAGGGTGATCCATTCACCTGGACTAACAGGCGCATGTGATTGGCCTGTATTCGTGAAAGATTGGATAGGGCTCTGTGTTCTCAGACTTGGGTGAATCAATTTCCAGAATCTCTGGTAAAGCATTTCACTGATCAGGGATCGGGCCATCCTCCTCTCAGACCAGCCTTATCGGCGCCATAGCCGCCCTCTGTTTAGGTTTGATGCCCGCCGGGCGGACAATCCTGAGGTCAGAGCTATGGTGGCCTATGTGTGGAAGGAAGATATCCAAGGAACGCCCATGTACCAGCTCTGGGAGCGGCTTAAGAAACTTCGCCATCTGCTCTATGACTGGAGTAGGGCTGGTACAACTAATTCCTTGCAAAATATCCGAACCCTCCAGTCTGAAGTTGATCAAATTAAATTAGTCCACCCAATCGATTGGGATACAGTCTGTACCTTGGAATCAGAGCTCTCTAGGCAATGGGAGGCGGAAGAGATGTATTGGCAACAAAAGTCTAGGGCGACCTGGTTGAAAAAAGGGGATAAAAACACTTCTTACTTCCATACGGTCACGAGGACCAGGAGGAAGAAAATTTTTATTTCCGGTCTAGTAATGACACTGGGGATTGGATCACTAACGAGGCTGGGAAAGCGGGCATTGCCAATTCGTTCTACCAAAATCTATTCACCTCGGAAAACCAGGTAAGGAATATGGCTGACATAATGGCGGCCCTCCCTATTGCTCGCAGTGTTACTCCTGATATGAATGCTTCGCTCACGGCCCCTCTCCATCCGAATGATGTTCGTCGAATTGTGTTTGCTATGGGTTCGACAAAAGCTCCAGGATCGGATGGATTCACTGGCAAGTTCTTTAAAGCTTTTTGGGACATTGTTGGGGAGTCAGTGAGTGATGCAGTTTGTTATTTCTTCTTGACGAGCAAAATGCTTAGGAGTTTTAATCATACCTGGCTGACTTTGATTCCCAAGGTCGATGCGGCGGAAACTATGCGGCAGCTTCGTCCTATCAGTCTCTGCTAGTTCGTTTACAAAATCATTACTAAAATCATGGCGGAGCGTCTGGCCGGGTTCCTTCCTAATATAATCTCGAGGGCCAGAATGCTTTCATCAAAGAGCGTCATATAGTGGATAATTTCCTTCTAGGGCACGAGTTGATGCATTACTTGAAAATCAAAAAACAAGGGAAGAAAGGTTACATGGATCTGAAGGTTGATATGGAAAAGGCCTATGATAGAGTTGAATGACCCTTTCTTCTTGCTGTTCTTCAGAAACTGGGCTTTAACTCTACCTGGAGGGGATGGATCCATGAATGCCTATCATCCACTTCCTTTTCGATTCTAATGAATGGCTCCCCCACGGGGTACTTCTCCCCGGCGAGGGGTCTTCGACAGGGGGATCCTCTCTCGCCGTTGTTGTTCGTACTGTGTACGGAGTGGTTTGCGGCTCACTTACGGAAGGCTATTACGGAGCGGAAATTGGAAGGTGTGAAGGTCGCTCTGCGTGCTCCTCGAATCTCCCACTTGTTCTTCGCTGATGATTCCTATTTATTTCTTCGAGGATCTCTCCAGGAATGTGAGAACCTGCTTGAGGTGCTAAATGAGTATGAGGAACTCAGTGGACAGAGAGTTAATCTGGGCAAGTCAGCAGTTTGCTTTAGCAAGAATATAGCTTTGCCTGACCAAGAATTCTTGGCCTAGATTCTAGGTGTCGGTACAGTGGGCGTCCATGAAAAATACCTTGGCCTTCCTACGCTGATAGCCCGATCTAAGATGGATACCTTTCGATATCTAGAGGTGAAATTATTGGAGAGACTTCAGGGGTGGAAACAACGGACTTTATCCTGGGCGGCAAAGGAAACCTTGATTAAATCTGTTGCTTTAGCTTTGCCCCTTCATGTCATGTCGTGTTTTAAGCTCCCGCTGTATCTCTGTCGACTCTTAGATAAACATATAGCACAGTTTTGGTGGGGGACTGCAAATGACCATTCTAAAATTCGATGGATGTCATGGCGAAATATGTCCCAAAGCAAGCATGATGGGGGTATGGGATTCCGTCGCTTCGAGCAATTTAAGCAGGCTCTCTTGGCCAAGATCGGGTGGCGTATACTTAATGAGCCCGAGTCCCTCTTAGCCCAAGTTTACAAAGGGAAGTACTTTCCTAATGGGGGGTTCCTCACTGCTCAAGCCCAGTCCCGCCCATCCTGGGGGTGGCAGAGTATCATTTTTGGTAGAACACTGCTTGAGAAGGGTCTTCGATGACAGATTGGTGATGGCCAGACTGCTTCTCTTCTGCACTCCAGTTGGATCCCGGATTTTCACCCATCAATCCCGATACATAATCCTCAAATTCTTCCGGAGGGTGGGGACCCTTGTGTAGCGGAGGTTTTGTGCCCCGGGGAGGGGCGGTGGTGTGATACCAAGCTGGGCCAATGGTTTGATCCCCCAACCTGTCGGGCAATTTAGGCAATTCCCCTGCCTCGGCATCCGGTACCGGATAGGCTTATTTGGCATGATACGGCGGATGGTCAGTTTACTATTAAATCGGCATACCATCTTGCGGTACTTGTGGATAAGCAGAAGGGGGGGTGGTGTACGTCGGTGAGTTGGATGGATAAGGCAAGCTGGGTCCGTCTTTGGGGGGAGAATATCCCACCAAAGTTGAAGGTGTTCCTTTGGCAAATTCTGAATCGGATCCTCCCAACTACGGAAGCTCTTATTGAGAGAGAGGTTCAGGTACACCCCAGATGTCCAGTGTGCTGGGCCGAATCAGAAACGTTAGAGCATCTCTTTCTCTTTCTCTTTTGTCCAGTGGCGCGGGCACTTTGGGACCTCTCGGGGTTGGAGTTTCTAGGCCAGGGTTTGCCTACCCATACTTTCCCTCTGTTTCTGAAACGAGTAATGGCTCTCATTCAGCAACCGGACTTGTTCATGGCACTGGTGGCGGTCCTCTGGCGGATATGGCGCTCTCGGAACTGGGTGGTGTTTGAAGGCAAACAGTTTGGGATCCCAGCTTTGATGCGACAATTTCACCAACAATATGAGGAGTGGGTGAGCTTGCCACTGGACCGAAGTCTGCCATCACATAGCACGTCTATCCCCCTGGCTCCACCAGTAGGCGATACTAGGGTCGTCTGTTTCTTTGATGGGGCTACCAGGCAGGGTGCTCCCTCAGCTGGTGGTATGGTGCTTATGACCTCGAGTCATGATCTGTTTCTGGCTAGGGGGGTCAGATTTCGTGATGTGATGGACCCGATGGTAATTGAGCTTCTGACCCTTCGGGAGGCTATTGGCTGGTGTTTGGGACTGGGGTTTGCGATGGTTAGGTTTGAGGGGGATGCCAAGGTGGTTATCGATAAGGTTAATTCGCGGCAGGCTAGTGATAACCGGGTGGGGGCTATTCTGGAAGAAGTTTTACACTACTTTGATTCTCATCCGGGGTTGAGTGTTCGGTTTGTAGGTCGGAATAACAATAGGGTAGCCCATAGGGTGGCTAGAAAGGCCCTTTCTTTGTCTCCGGCTATGAGTCGTGTTTTTGATTTCCAGGCCTGGCTGGGAACCATGATGTAATTATCTGTTCTTGAATCAATATAAGATTATCTTTTGTAAAAAAAAAAAAAAGAATGAATGATGGAGAGGGTTGTATGTGGCAACTTCGGGCTGCATATATGAAGAGAAAGGGTGTATGGGTCATGCGGACAGTAGAGAACAACCACAGATGCTCCTCAACCATACTTTCACAGGATCACCGGCAACTTAAAGCAAAAAAGTGGCAAGAACCATTAAGCACCTAATCGAGGCACAACCAGATATCACGATAAAAACTATCATGGCCGAGGTGAAGGATCGACATTCCTACACCATAAGGTATAAGAAGGCGTGGCATGGGAAGCAGAAGGCCATGGCTGAGGTCTACGGTGATTGGGATGACTCGTATGCTTTACTCCCTAGACTAATGTCCGCAATGGAGGAGTCCAACCCTGGGACGGTTTTCGTGTCGTGGTACAACAACGTACAAGCTGAAGATCAAGTTCGAGTACAGAACGAGTTGATGTTTCATCGTCTGTTCTGGACATTCAAGCCATGCATTGACGGGTTTCCCTTCTGCATGCCACTGATTCAGGTATATTACGGACTCAAGCTATTGTACTAGTTCATTACTTTACTAAGTTCAATTTTTACTAACTAATTATTAATTTTAACAGGTTGATGGAACTTTCCTTACTGGGAAGTATAAAGGAACCCTTCTCATTGCCACCGGCGTTGATGGAAATTTAAGTATTTTCCCCTTAGCATTTGCATTAGTTGAAGGGGAGAACAACTTAAGTTGGGCATGGTTCTTTGACCAGCTACATGCCCATGTCACATAAAGAATGGGTATTACAATGATATCGGATCGACATGCCGGGATTAAACACGCTATCGGTGGTTTTCCCGACGAATGAGGATAGACATGGCGCTGGTGTATTCGTCACTTCCTTGCCAATTTCCAACACAAATTTGGCAAGAAGAAAGACATATGAGATCAATTGTGGAGTGCAGGTAGTAATGTAATTCAGTGCTTGTTCATGGTTTATTGTTCAAATGAAATTTCTTATGCGTTAATTATTTATTCTTCGGTCTTGAAGTGGTTGCACATCAACCAAAAAAGTACGAGCAGAAGATGAAGACAATCTGTCAGATGCCCCTGACTTTCGGCCCATGCCTGTGTATAAGAAGGGAGTGCACGTCACAAAAGAAAAAAAAAATTTACGTACTCTCAGTAATTCTTTTTGATGCGGAAGATCGGACTTAGCCGCAACCACAGAGCATACTTAGAACGAAACTAGAGTGAAGTAATGGAGGGAGAAAGAAGTATAAAATGGTGGTGTGGTTTGGAATGGGGGGGGGGGGGGGGGGGAGTGGTATTTATAGGGTTTGGGCGCTGGATAATTTGGAGCATTAATCACCGCGTCCAACAAAAGCGGTGAAGTCACCGCCTTGAAGAAACACGGTGATGGCTTCGGATCGGTGACGTGGCGCCATGTGAGGCGTCGGATCGTGGAGAAAAACCACAATCCGCGCCTCATCGCATCCAACGGTAACGGTGAAGGCGCGGGTGGCGCGGATCGCTGACGTGGAAAGCGGGGCTATCATCGCTTTTGCATTAACGGTGAAGTGCCCGCGCCTGTCCACGTCAGCGATCCGCGCCACTTCACCGTTTTTGACATCAATGGTCAAGATCCTTCACCGCTTCCCTTATCAACGGTCAGAAGATCCCCGTTGTTCACGAAAGCGGGGATTGTTTCCCCGTTTTTCTCCTCAGCGGGGATTGCATCACTGCTTTTGTCAAAAGCGGTGATGTTATCACCGTTTTAGACTAAAACGGTGAATATAATCATTGTCTTTGTCTTCGACAGTAATTTTGAAACTGCTGTACTTTGAAAAATAACTTTATAAGTAGGGATTTTTTTTTAATAATTAGAGTATTCTGGGATTTTTTCCATATGTTCCGACCCCACGACTGCTTCATCTCCACCGCGTAATTCCGCTTCGATTCTTCACAAAACCTTGCCGCCCCTCTCTGATATCTCCCTCCTCACTCTACAATCCCATCCCCTCGAATTCTCCTAGATGGGTCGGGATAAAACAGATGAAAAATTCGACCCAGTGTGGGAATTTTTGTTAAATCGCTACCAGGAGGCGGCATCATCGGAAATCCAGGCCATGCAATTGAAAGCCACGATCGAGTTGACCCGTTACTCTGACCATGCGCCGGAGCATGTTCTGGCTCGGGCGATACCAACTTTGGCCGGACTTCTTCACAGTAACAACGGCTCGACCAATTCAGTGAAGGAAGCCGCCGTGTATAGCTTAAAGCGCATTGCTTTTCGAGGTGAGGGTTCCTTGGCTGTGGAGATTGGCAATTCTGGTGCTATCCCTTGTCTGTTGAGGTTGTTGCCTCTGTCAAATGATAAGTTGCAAAGGGTTCTGATTAAGTGTCTTTGGTGCCTCGTTAATTCTGCGGATGAGAATCGTGTTACTGTGGCTAGAAATGGTGGTCTGGAGATCATTTTGGATATGTTGAATTCTTGTGTGGAAGATAATTGCGGCAAGAAGAGGGTCTATCTGCTAGAGATTTTTAGTGCATTGGCATTGTTGAAAGAGGTCAGAAAGAGGCTTTCTGAGTTGAATGGCCTTAGGTTCCTCATTGAATCGGCTAAATGGGGTAGGATGAAATCCAGGGATAGAGCTTGTCAGGCCATTGGATTGCTTGGTCGGTCGTGGCGTGCTCGGTGTATGCTTGTCGATCTAGGAGCAATTCCTGTAGTCATTGAGTTGTTTAGGGATGGGAATGGTAAAACCAAGGTTACTGCTGGCAATTCACTTGGCATCATATCATCACATGTGAATTTCGTTAGGAAGGCAGCTGAGGCTGGGGCTATACCACTATATGCTGACCTGCTTCAGGGACCTGACCCTATTGGTAAAGAGATTGCAGAGGATGCATTCTGCATATTAGCCATTGCCGAGGAGAATGCGGTCGCCATTGCTGATCAGTTGGTCAGGATCTTAAGAGAAGGTGATGATGAATCGAAGGTTGCTGCCTCTAATGTCTTCTGTAATCTCGGCACCTATGAACCCTCCGTTTCTATTGTTAGAAACTCTGGTGCAATTTCTATTCTCGTTGAGCTTTTAAGACATGGGAATTTGGATGTAAAGGGGAGTGCCTCTGGGGCGATCTCTCAGTTGAGCTATGATCGGGCCAATCGAGAAGCACTGCTCGAGGCTGGTGCGGTTCCAATTCTCCTTGGGTTGTTGGGAGATCATTCGGAGGACATGGACGTGAGAAATAACGTTGCAGAGGCACTGGTAAACTTTTCTCATGATATGGAGCAATGTGACTTGGTAGCTGAGGTGGTTAATGGTCCTTCGTTCGAGTTTATGCATACTAGAGTTGGTAGACTCCGATCCTCGGATGATCAGACTGTTAGCTCGTTGAGGCATCTTAGTGTTGAGCAGCTTAGTTATGACCCTGAACTTGTGTAGTTGGATACTGTAGACTGTAGAGTTTGTTGTATCTTTTCTCCCTTTCTGAATTGTGCAATGTTGTATTTTAGGTACAGAAGTATATGTTTACTGTGATAGAGAACTGTGGAAAATCCTTTTCACAGTGATGGTGCGTTTCAAGCATCACAGAGTTGGTGAATATCTGGAAAGTACCATAAAAGGAATAGTCAATAATAAAATGTTGCCAATTCAAGTTGAGCAAGATTAAAATGTTGGAGGTCATTAGTCAATCTCAAATACTTTTGGTTGCAGATTTCCATTCTTGTAAGAGAATTGTCCCGTAGTTTTTGGCTGCATGTTCTCAACTGTTCCATGACTTGACTGTGAAGTGTTGACACTTGACAGATAGAAAGAAGGCTTTTAGTCACCTCGCCCTTTCACAGGCATAACATAGTCAGCTGCAGAGAATCATTGCCGCCATTGCCTTCCCTTGGAGATGGATGGGGTTGTCCTGAGACTGGGAATCGTTTCCCCTTGATCAGAATGCTGTTAGGGTATTATTCAAGCACTCCCGCCCAAAAAAAATAAAAAATAAAAAAAGCCTGGTACTTCTAGAGGGGAGGGAAATTATGGAGAAACATCTGAACTCATGGATAGGGAACTGCACTAGAAGTCATGAAGAAGAAAACATAACTTCTCAGTGACAAAGGGTGTGAGAAAGATGGGTCCTTTCCTTTGCTTGTTTGGTGTCAATTGCCAATCATACTGTTACATTACTTGCCCTGAGATATGTAGACAATAATATAAACAAACAACTAATGTCCATATATCTTCAACTAATCCTAAAGCTGCTGTTGTTGGTAGTGTGGTGAGTGTTCATTCACAATTATGAGAATATTGTAGAGTACTGGTAAGAAGTTTCCTTTTAGGTTTTGTGCATGGAGTTACTATTACTTGTATGGTTTGTACTTCTTATTAATTAGAGTTAAAACCCACCCACTATCAAAGCCAAAGTAATGCATGTATTTTGAAATAACTCAGCATTAACTACTTAAGAAAAATAGTAAACTCATAGAAAACAAACCACATAATTATCCAAGATAATTTATTTTAATTTTTATACAAGTAGTATCAGAGCTAGATAAGGATAGCGAATTACGGGTAATGAACTGATGATAAGTTTGACATGCATGCCAAATTTCTCATAATTTAGTTTTCACAATTTGTAACTTAAAAGTTAAAAGGGTCAAGAAAATGTGATTGCATGCATGTCTAGGCCCTAGGCAGAGAGAAAATGCCTTCCCTAGACTCTAGGCAGAGTATTAGACATTTATAACGCCTAGACACATGATTAATCGGTTTAAGGAGTGATTAATTAAGCATGAGCTAGCAAACCGAGGATTAGGATGAATAAGGAAAATGTGCACCATGGGGGTGTCGTGATGTATTCGATGGTAACTGGTGGGCATCTTGAACTTCATAAGATTACAATAGTGGGAGAGCTCCACATTGAAGAATTCGAGTCTGACAAGGAGGAAAGGGTGGAGATTGCTTTTGAGGACGATGAAGATAAAGTGGTGGTTCGATAAACCTATTTGTATGATGATGAGTGAATTAATTTAGAAGTGTTTGCTGGTTGATCGTTTCTATGAACTTGTTGTTGCTATGTACTTATATTTAAATAACTTTGATAGTTCTTAAGGGTTGGCTAAATTATGAATTAATCATTTGAAATTGAACCTAAGTAAAAGTGCTACAAATTTGTATTTCTACTAAAAATGGTTATTTTTGTTAAACACCTAGGACCCCAACGCGGCAACGCCTATCTAACGGATAACACCTTAAACCTCGAAGGTGTGCATTCCCATCATTTTAAATTCAAATTGGTTGTTTTACCCACTAAAAATTAAAGTGCATTGGCACTGGGGTGAGATCAATACATGTAGGTTCATCTATCAAGGGAAATGGGCAACAAGCAAACTTCCAAACAAGAAACAAACAGAGAGAACGTAAGTTCCATTATCAATCCAAACACCAAACAAAGTACACCATTTCATTCATTCTTCCCACCACCTTTCTACATCTATCTCAATAAAAAGGTTACAAGAATAATGAAGCCAAAAGGAACATGTGGAAGAAGAATTGCAATTCTTTATACTATTCTAATTTATAGTTATTTTATAAATAATTGGGGGCGAAGCCGAAGCCAAATAAAATGTGGAAGAATGAACTAGTAATGCACATTGGCGATCACAACCTTCTAGAAATCAATAAACGAGAAGGAAAGGGAAGGGAATGTTTGTTTGTGTGTCCCCATTAACTTCATTGCTATTTGAACTACAGCACCAACAAAAATTTAAAACCGTACTCAAAATTGTACCGAGAAAATCAGTAGTATGATGTTTGTACGAAAAAATCAGTAGTATGATGTTTGTGCTGACATTTTGGGTTAACCGTTTGACTCGCTATACCGTCACAATAAAAAGTGGGCAAGTGTAACCACAAACTAATGCATAGTATAGCGGATTTAGTTTTATTTGTCAATCTGGGTTCTAAATGTGATGACTACTCCGTGAAATTCTTATTCTCTAGCTGTTTAAGTGCAGTGAAGTTATAAGTAACTTAAGCAAAAAGCAATAAAGTTGTGGTTCAATTTCGAGAAAGATCACCGATATGGTCCCCCCTAGATTGCAGTTAAGTCAAGCTGTAATTTATCAAGTCCAGATATAATGATAGTTATACTGCGGAAGGTTCTTCAACAATCTGAAGTCTAGACTAAAGGCCTTCAGACCCTTCCAGTGTGAATACCCGGCGGGTGGCTGATGACTCGATATTTGCACATGTTTTTGTCCACCATTCTTATCTTGTTTGAGGCTCGGACATCGGGTTTTAAGCAGATTTTACGCTAGGTTGTTCCTGTTTATGACATTTCAGGTCTTAATGTATGAATGAAGGTTTGAGCACGAGTTTATGGTCGATTGGGCGAAATCGCGACGAGCGGGAGATCAGACAAGTTGCACGGCCAGGACGAGAAAGCGCACGGCCATGCATGATTGCCTTTGTGGCCGTGCAGGATTTACCGAGAAGCTTCACAACCTGACGCTGTTTTTCGCACGACCGTGCAAGATAAATTGGTGGCCGTGATGATTTCTGCGAGAGGATTACACGGTCAGGCTCTCGGATTGCACGGGCCGTGCAATGACCGTGCACCCCCTGGTGGAATTAATTGAAACGGTGCATTTTGGGGGTGCACGGGCAGACTATGAGGTTGCACGGCCGTGCGGTCTAGCTGTGCAATCGAGGGCAGTTGCATAAAAACTCAATTTCGGGTTTTGGAGAGGGAGAATGACTTTTTGGAGCTAAAATAGAGTCTTAGAGAGAGAAAGTGCGAAGAACAAACCCTAGGATTGATTCTGGATCTGGGTTTCATCAATCAAGATTTGATTTCGTCCTTGGAGTGAAGATTATCATCTCAGAGTAGATTCTTCCCATCGTTATGAGTATGAATGCTTTGAATTCTGTTTTCTCTCTCTCTCTCTCTATGGAGTAGACCCTTCTCTCACTTGGGTATGAAGAACCCTAGTTCCATGTGTTAGGGATCTTGATTGTAATGACTTTTGGATTGAGTTACTATTTGATTATAATCAATTGAAGTGTGTTTATTGAGTCAATTGGATCCTGATCAAATTCTCTTGATTTCTGTTGCAACTTGAGATAGATAGAATCTAATTAGGTTGTTAGAGCTTCTTCAATTGATAGGAGCGGATTGATTATACGAGAGTTAGTCAATCCACTGCTTTGTACTGGAATCCAATTCCAGTAGTGGAGTTCTGTGTTAACTTCCTTAGCTTTCTATCCCGGTGAAGACTTGTCGTCTGCTGGTTAGTCTGTCTAAGAGGGCTTAGTTAGCTTAAGAGATTCCAAGCTACTGTCGGATCTTCCGAAGTTTAATCAATAGTAATTAACCCAAAGGAAATTACAACTTGAACCTAACTAAGGAGCTTGGAGGACTCATTCCTGAGTGACTCTTCCCTTGCTTTTGAAAACCGAACACTTTCCTGATTTCTTACTGCTTTTGTTTACAATCACTCTCACTAAACTTAGTCCTGCTAGATAATAGATAATCACGGAGTAGGCAGTAGATCTAGACCCCAGGTTGATAAATTAAACTTACCACTATTATGCATTTCTAGACTACGATTATACTTGGTCGTAGTTTGGTGTTGTGTTTTAGCGTGTCAAGTTTTTTGCGCCGCTGCCGGGGAACTTCTAGGTTATTGTAGAAACGTGAAAGTATGTTACTTTAGCATTTTCTTTACTGCATTCTCTCTCTTCCACCTGTGTGCCTTCATGGGTTGTGTTTGACTGCTTTGAATTCTCTCTCTCTCTCTCTCTCTATGGAGTAGACACTTCTCTTACTTGGGTATGAAGAACCCTAGTTCCATGTGTTAGGGATCTTGATTGTAATGACTTTTGGATTGAGTTATTGTTTGATTATAATCAATTGAAGTGTGTTTATTGAGTCAATTGGATCCTGATCAAATTCTCTTGATTTTTGCTGCAACCTGAGATAGATAGAATCTGATTAGGTTATTAGAGCTTCTTCAAAAAAAAAAAAAATTGACATTTCTAAAACATGGGGTATGCCCAACAAGTGTGGCACCGTTTATTGCACAAAATCGGGTTGTTGAAGAGATATTAGTGATCCTTAGTGGAGTAGACCTACAAGGTGAAGCTAAGTTGTCTCTAGTACAAGTAAAAATTCCACCCGTTCAATGGTTTGCCTACTCGAGGATGTGTTTTTAAGGGCACAGATAGAGTTTTCGACCCCCTTAATTTCATTGACCCTTCACACGAATTGAGGAATAGGAGTTGAAAGAAGTACTCTGGCGAGCGACAGATGTACAAAAATTGCTCTTGCTCACCTAATAAGGGCAGACCGCGCATAAAAACTCCAGTTGGAACCCCAGCAAAAGGAAAAAAAGAAAAGAAATAAATAATAAGGAAAATGGGTTCCAACAAGTAAGATGAAATGGAAGAGCACCCGATACAAAGAGTCATTGGTCGTTAAATTGGGTGAGTCTCCTTATCCATGAACTGACTGTCTTAGTTCCACTTCTTCGCATGATCCTGGCTTGAGTCTAGTACTCTCATTGAGAGAGATAAGGGACGTCTTAGAAGACCAGTTGACCTCGTAAGTTGCTAAATGATCTAGGAAATCCTCTACCGACTATCAGGATTGCTTGTTGTTG